TACTGGCACACTATAAATTTACAGCTGTGGGGTGGGGACATTTTGTATGACACATTTTTTGTCATCTTTGGCAATTCTCATATTTACCATAGCCAAATACGGTCGGACTTCATTTGGGCCTAATGAATCTGCAGCAATCACCTGCATGCATTATTTTTGCAAGTGAATAATTTTAAATACTATTTGCCTGTTAGCAGAGTTAACTGGTTCCTGGCAAATAGTTTAAAAACCCTCAGCAATGTGAGGGTTATCTATGTGATGCTTAAAATAAATAAATAAAAAAAACCCTATGGGGCTCAATAACGTTCCCTCATTACTATAAGGGAGGTTTTAAACCTCCCTGTGCCCCTGAATACCAGGCCCTAGGAAGTGGCATACCTTCATTTTTTTTTAAAACTGGGCAGCCATTACTGCACACTCACTAGAAAAGCCCCATACCATAAACTGGAATAATAGCCTAAGTCAGCTGTTCTTCCAATTTGGCTACTTTGGCCTTAAATTCACGGATTTTACTATTACCATGACGTAAAGTCATGATTTTATTAATGACACGGAGGCGAGTATTATGCTGCACTCTTTCTTTATTTCCCTCAGCAGCAAAGAAAAAAACTTTATAAACATAACCAATGATAACATTAACAGTCTCAGGTGTATTCTTCCCAGTAACAGGGACAGCCAATCAGAATCCACTTCTCCAGCATAATAGGCTCTGTCAACCAATCCTGTTCCTCTTTATTTGCGATCCCGAAGAAGTAAAATTATCCAACCAAACGTTGAACTGCATAGAACATGGTTTTCCCAGGAGATGTGGGATAAATTAGGCTGTAAAAGAGGAAAAATATGGTAATATCTTAGCATAAAACTGAGTGTATGCATATTCATAGGTATTCAGGATAGTTTGGTCAGTGTTGTATCCAAGGGAATATTGTTGTGTAACCTATAAATGTTGGTGACCAGATAGGCAATTAGTGATCGTAGCTAAGACTTACCTTTATCTAAGTATAACTGTAATGTAACAATCTGGCGATTACAACTGTAACAAATATACATGGTAAATGACTTACCGTAGGTCAACTTACCCAACTTCCGTCTATCCTTCCACCGTCGTCGGGTGGGAGGGAGGGATAATACTCGCTTCCGTGTCATTAATAAAATCATGACTTTACGTCATGGTAATAGTAAAATCCGTGAATTTTATTAAGACACGGAGGCTCCTATTATGCTGGTTGAAAGCTGAGAAACTACCGTTCCCGCAAAGTGGTGTATAGGTTTGAAGTAAAAATCACGGAAGGTAGATTCTGAAGACCAGTCGGCTGCTTTTAGAATGTCTTCCAGGCGACAACCCATCGAAGAGGCTTTGGAAGCCATTGCTCCTCGTATGGAGTGTGGTGAAAATATGGAGGTGTCTATGCCTGCCGTAGCCATGATCCATTTGACCCAGCGAGCCAGGGTCGTGGTAGACACTGGTAGGTGTGGTTTCTGGAAGGAGATGAAGAGTTCATGTTTAGATGGGTCCTGCAACGTCCTTGTGCGAAGTTCATAGGTTTGTAGGCATTTAACCGGACACAAGAGAGGTTTGTCAGGAAAAGCTGGATATGTCACCCTCTTTGTTGAGCTTTTTGTTCTCCGTGATATGTCGAAAGTGACCCCTTCTGGAGTGTATGATCGTGCGGTGACGTCTAAGGCTCTAACGTCTGAGACCCATTTGCAGGATATGAGACATAGGAGCATGGCCAGTTTCGCCGACAGTTGTTTCAGAGATAGTGTTGCGTTATCAGGCCAAGATTCGAGGAAGCGGAGGATGATGGAGATGTCCCACAGTACGGAATAGCGTGGCAGCGGAGGCCTTGCGAATCTAATGCCGCGTAGGAGTCAGCATACTAGTGGGTGGCGTCCTATCGGTGCGCCATCGATGCCCTGGTGTGCGGTAGAAATGGCCGATCTGTAGAGGTTCACCGTGCGATATGCTTTGCCGCTTTCAAATAAGGAGGTTAAGAATTGCAGGGTCGAAGTCAGAGGAGCCGATATGGGATCCAAGTTCCATTCCATGCACCATTTGCGCCAAGCAAATTTATAAGCTTGTCTAGTGCCGGGTGCCCATGCGCTCTCGAGAAGTCGGAGAGTCGATTCCGAAATTCCTTCGATTGAGTAGGGCTCCCGTTAATCAGCCACGCCGTGAGGTGTAGCAACTCTTGTTGAATCAAGGGATGGGGGGACCCGTCCGGGTCCCGAAGTAGGTAGTCGGAATGTGGGAGAGTGCGGGGTATGTCTATCGCCATCTCCAACAGGGAAGGAAACCACGGTTGTGACGGCCATAATGGCGCCACGAGCACTGCCGTTCCCGTCTGTCGCCGCAGTTGTAGTAGGCAGCGGGGAATCAATGCAAAGGGAGGAAACGCGTAGTTCCTTGTGGAGGACCAGTCCTGGGTAAAGGCATCTGTTGCCAGTGCTGCCGGTTCTGGTTTCCAACTGAAAAATCTGGGGAGTTGATTGTTCAAACGGGAGGCGAACAAGTCCTTGTCCAGAGGGCCCCATAGAGACTGGATGTCTTGGAAGACCCTGGGTTCCAGGTGCCAGTCGCTGGAATCTTTGAGGTGCCTTGAGTACCAATCCGCCGCGGTATTGTAGAGGCCCGGAAGGTATTCCGCTGTGACTGAAATGCCTTGTGCCAGGCAAAACTGCCAAAAGTCTCGTGCCAAATTCGCCAGGACCTTCGATTTCGTGCCACCCAAGTGATTTATATAACGGACTGCTGATACATTGTCCATCCTTAAAAGGATGGCACACCGGGCTTGAGTCGGTGAGAAACTGCGGATTGCAAAAGAGCCGGCTAGGAGTTCTAGGCAATTGATGTGAAGTGTCGATTCCACTTCGGACCATCTGCCACCGGTAGAGACATTGCCACAGCGTGCGCCCCAACCGTGCAAGCTCGCATCGGATTCTATTATGTCTGGTTCGGTGCCGAAAATGGCTCGGCCATTCCAAGCGTCCATATGGGAGAGCCACCATCTGAGTTCTGTTTTTGCTTCTGTGTCCAGAGCGATCATGTCCGTATATGAGGTCCCGTCTCTCAAATGGGAGGCTTGCAGGCGCTGTAGCGCTCGATAATGTAGAGGGCCCGGGAAGATGGCCTGTATGGAGGCCGCCAAGAGGCCGATCACTCTCGCCAATTGTTTCAGGGAGATCAGGGGGGTCGTCAGAGTGCGTCTGATCTCCTTCTTTATGGTGGTCAATTTCGCCGCCGGTAAGTGTAGGGTCTGTAGAGTAGAGTCCACTACGAGGCCCAAAAACTCTATGTGCCGTGTAGGGGTCAGGATGGATTTTTTCCAATTGATAAGGAAACCCAAATTATGCAAAAGATTCTGAGTCCATGCCAGATGGGTCTCGAGAATGTGGTTGGAACGACCCATGATGAGGATGTCGTCCAAGTAGATTATGAGACGAACCCCTCGACTTCGAAGTAGAGCCACCACGGGCTTCATGAGTTTGGTGAAGCACCATGGGGCTGAGGACAGTCCGAACGGGAGACAGGTGAATCACCATTTCCTTCCTTGCCATATGAATTGTAGGAAGTCTTGGTGGTGACGTGCGATTGGTATCGTGAGATAGGCGTCCTGCAGGTCCAACTTGACCATCCAGTCCAATGGCTGGAGAAGATCTCGGAGGCAGTGTATGCCCTCCATTTGGAAATGGTTGTAGGCAACAAAAGTGTTGAGTTGTTTCAAGTTGATCACTGGGCGAACGCCGCTGCCTTTTTTGGCAACTAAGAATAGGTTGCTCACGTACCCTGGGGTAGTCATAGGGATCTCTAAGATGGCCCGTTTGTGTGCCAATTCCAAAACCTCCTTGGTTACAAGGGAGGCGTCTTGGTGGGAAAACAGCATTCCCCGTGGTGGGGAGAGTTGCACCGGGAGGGATATGAACTCTAAGGTGTACCCTCTTACCGTGTTCAATACCCAGGCATCTGATGAGATGTGTGACCATGCATGGAAAAAATGTCGGAGTCTGCCCCCCACTGCCCATAGGGAAGAAGGAAATATGAGAGGACTTACCATAAGGTCGTCTGCTTGGGCGGGTGCCACGTGCTCCACGAGCAACCCATGGCCGCCCACGTTGTGGGAAGAAGGCCGGGGTGTTGCGGTGCTCCATGAAGGAGGCGTGTCCATTGTAGGAGCCTCGGCTCTGTCGGAATGAACCCCTATTAAGACGGCCGGACAGACGGCTCCTGGCTCTTCCGGCCCCACCAAAAACCTTAGGTTGGAAAATCTTGCGCATGTTCGATTGCGCCTTGTCTAGGGCAGTGAAAGTATGTACAAAGGAGCCAAGCTCCTTGACAAAATTGTCTCCGAACAGAAGACCACGGGCCTGGGTGCCCGGTTCGGTTATAACCATGTTCACCAGTTTGGGTTCTATCTTTAATAAAATCGCTTTGCGACGCTCCGTGGCCATCGCACAGTTGGCATTGCCAATCAGACAAATCACCCTTTGTATCCAACCACTTATGGCGGAACGATCTAACTCTTGGTCGCTTTCGACCATATCAAAAATTTGTGTTGCCGGGCCCAATATATCTAATATCTTGTCCTGGCAATTGCGCAGAGAGAAATCAAGGCCCTTATTAGGCTTCAAGCCAGTCTTGCCCAGGAATTGAATGATTTTTGGGTCAACTGCAGGTGTTCTGCAGGCCTCGTCAGGGACACTGGGACGTGGGCATTCTGCCCGCAGCTTGTTACGTGTAGCCTTATTTAAAGGTTTGCGAGTCCGCGATGCAACGTATTGGGCCACATGGGCCGAAGAGGACCAGTCCGCTGACCTTGGATGACGCAGGTCATCGGGGTCGAACATAGGTTCCCCATAGGGGTCAACTAATCTGTTTGCATCGTCTGGGACCTTAAGCTCCATGTCATACGATTCAGATGGAGGCGTAATATGCTCTCTGGGGTCATGGTCTTCGACCACACCATCTGACTCTGGATCTGATGGATCCTCCGAATCCATACCGGTCTCCTCTTCAATCTCGCTGAGATCTGACTCAGATTCTAGTTGGGCTTTTGCCCGTTTCCATAACCTAGCCGATTTTGCCCGGCTAGTGGCTCTTTTGCGCGGTGGTATATTAGACGCGCCATCTGTGACAGGTGTGTAGCTGTCCATCTGTGAGATTGAAGAGTGTTTTGTTTTTGCAGTGGCCTTGCGGCCAGTGTGAGGTTGTGAAGGGGCTATTGCAGGCAAAGCCTGGGTAGTGATCGGCTGGGCCGATTTCTGTGCCCCAAGTAGAGCATGTGTAATAGTCTGTGAGATAGATTCAGACATCAGCCCCATGGCTGATGTGAGGGCCTTAGTCACAACATGAGACATGGTGTTGTCAATCATGTACTGCATATCAGCAGTAGGATCAAAATCAGCGGGGATAGTCGCCCCAATCTCAGGTACCCCTGTGGGTGTTTTAACAGACCCTAAATTGGTGATAAGAGACCCAGGAGGGAAGGGTATATCTTTGTCACCAGGCATATTGGGTGTATAACACTGGCACCACAAATAAGTGTACTGAGCTGACCTAAAATGGGTTGATTAACCCAAAGAGAAAAGGGGTAATATACCTTTATGAGAGAAAACAAAGTACTCACAAAAACAATTACAGCAACAAAAGAAAGGGTGAGGAGGGGGCAAGGAGCCGTCTGACCGCCACTGTAGCTTTAACCCAACTCCGAGGTCCGGTAGTTGGGGGTGGAACTACATGCTGAGCGCGGGAAGCAAGAAAAATGGCCACCGCGAGCGGTACTAAGGAGAAGAAAATTGGTAAGCTATGCTCGCGGCGAATGTGTAACACTCAGCGCGAGTACACATTCATGCGCCGCGAGCAGGGAGCCGGCATCCGAGCTCAGTGAGCTCTGTGGGTGGCGGCCGGTGATGGCGTGAAGAAGTGAAAAGGCGGGGGGGCGCAAAGCGCCGGATGCGGCTCCAGCCGACGTCCCCGAACCCCTGTAAATTAGGTTCCGGGAGGCGACCGGCTGGAGCGGGGGGGCCTTAAAGGGGCGCAGAGGTCATGAAAAGTCAAGTTAGGTAATAAAGACAAAGCTAATAAAATCAATTAAGACATCAAATAAAAGAATGTAACAGTGTAATGTAACAATAATATAATAATATACTACTATAATATACTATAATATAATATAATACAATATAATATAATACAATATAATATATATTACAATATAATATAAAGTAATCCCACAGTTAAGGAGCCTGAGGGATCAGATATACTTAACTGAGGGAGCAGCAAAGAAAGAGGAACAGGATTGGTTGACAGAGCCTATTATGCTGGAGAAGTGGATCCTGATTGGCTGTCCCTGTTACTGGGAAGAATACACCTGAGACTGTTAATGTTATCATTGGTTATGTTTATAAAGTTTTTTTCTTTGCTGCTGAGGGAAATAAAGAAAGAGTGCAGCATAATAGGAGCCTCCGTGTCTTAATAAAATTTGAAATTAACTTTGAATTCTCACTTTAAGCGAATAATCCTGTGTGTGTTCCGCATTCTATATTTCCTGGGGTTACAGATTAGTAACATAGACTTTTGCATACTATTTCAGTACTCCTATATGGACAATAATCTAATTCTCATGCTGCTTGCGTCATGAGTTGGGAAGGAACTCAACCGTTTGTCTAGGCATAAACGTTATTACTGGGTATTTGTTGAATTCAGGGTAAGAAGAGATTAGTTTCCAATGTTGTTTTAAAAATGAAGTCCCTTACAGTAATTCTTTATCCTTCCCTAATCTGATAACGTGTTATGAGACTTAATACTTTCCGAGCAGCTGCTGGATTTCTCAGTAATCGCAGATTAGTTCTGGACAGATTTTTTTCTGCAGATATATTTTTTGGCTTGGTAATTAATAAGGGCTCACAGATGATTTGACAAAAGAAACAAAAATCCTAAAGCACTTAATTAATGGGATTCCTCCACCTTCCGCACACACTTATACAATCAGCTAGTAAAGCAAAGGTAAAACAGAAAAGTTATTTCTTTCATCAACACAGATAGAGATCAAAAAACTAAAATTATTGAGCTTACTTTAGTATGTATTATGCATTAACTGTATGTGTTTTTTCTAAGTCACCTAAATGGATATAATGATATGATATATATAATTTATTACATCTCTCTCTCTCTCTCTCTCTCTCTCTCTCTCTCTCTCTCTCAAACATATGGTGCACCAGCAGCATTGTTATGCATTATTCATGTTTAGGTGATATAAACACAAACTATTTGTACAAAATATTAGGTATAAAAATTATGCATGTACTAAAATTTTGCACCTGAGGGCTACAATAAATAAGAATGATGTAATTTTACAATAATGGCACTCTAAGGTCCTCAAAAAACTGCCTAAATTTATATCTCTAAAATAAAGGCAAATTAAAGTTTCATGTGAAAACTGAATCATGGAAAAAATAAATCTAGCCATTTTTGTTTTTTTTTCACAAAGGCCTTGGAATGCTGTTCTGCTGTTATTACATACACATACTCCAATATTTACACCCATAACACTATACAAAATTAAGGCAAATTAAAGTTTTATTTGATAACTGAGACACTGCAAAAATAAATCTAGCCTTTATTGTTTGTTTTGCTAAGGCCTTGGAATGCTGTTCTAATGCTATTATATACACACCATTATTTAGACGAACAACACCACAGTGTTTAGGTCACAACAAAAAAGAAGCCTGATACAGCTCTTTTAGCAGTCTGTAATGATATGGAAAAGAGTACAGTTATGCTTTGGAAATATTAGATACTTACCAATTGTGAGAATGTAGTTGAGTGGCAGTTATGTTTAATATCTTCTAACAATCTTTATTTATGAATGATTTTCATGAAGAGATTATGAACAATCACTGGAAAAGAAACATCAAATATAAAAAACACAAAACAGTAAATCATAGTAAAGACTTGGTAAAAAAGACTCTTTGTGAGAGGGGGAAACAAGAAAAAGGTATTCCTCAGTGTCTAGCCATCCACCACACACAAAATTCAAAGGAAAATGGGAAACTCTCCCCACCCCACCACTCCACTCCAAACCCGACCAAACCACCCAGAGGGAAACCCTCAATAGGCAAACCTGGGGCAGGAAGATAAGGGGAGCTGATGTAAATGTCAAGGCTCAGTTCCCTTTCCACGAGGTACTCAAGTTGTCTGACCTGCTGCCCTCCGGGTTGGTCTCCCAGAAGCGGCATCCGCCAGGCCATTTGTTCCTCCAACTGGTATGCGACACCAGGAAGGCGCTGCTGCCGTTGATACTGGACTTCCTCCAGGGCATTGTACCAGAGTTCTTGCCGGGCAATATCTCTCCAGTCTAATTCACTCTCTTCCTCAGGTGTGCGTGTTGCCCAAGGATCCACAAACCCCATTTCCCCAAATCTTTATGTAGACAGGGATGCTGTATGAACACTAGCGTCGCCTTCAATTTGTAAATCCAAACGAACTGTGTCTCTGAGCTGCTTTACCTTGCACTAGGACGCCATCCCACCGCTTGCCACCAATGTAACGGATCGCCTGGCACCCCGACTGGGTACCTCCGTTGAAGGATGCTCCTAGCGCTTCCTGAGGACTCCAAGCACTGCAGCAGACACCACAACCACCGAACCGTAGGAGCATATGAATGCTCTCAAGCATATGAATGCTGTAGACAGTTGAATAGGAACCATACGAATAGGTTTACTCTCCTAGCGATTAAACTGGACAGCATACAATAAATCAACTTCCCAATAATGGGCGACACTTCGCTAGAAACATAGAAACATAGAAACATAAGTCTTGGTGACAGATACAAGAACCATTCGGTCCATCTAGTCTGCCCAATTTTCTAAAAACTTTCATTAGTCCCTAGCCTTATCTTATAGTTAGGATAGCCTTATGCCTATCCCATGCATGCTTAAACTCCTTTACTGTGTTAACCTCTACCACTTCAGCTGGAAGGCTATTCCATGCATCCACTACCCTCTCAGTAAAGTAATACTTCCTGATATTATTTTTAAACCTTTTTCCATTTAATTTAAGCCATGGAGAATGTTCTGCTTCCTGCAACATCCTCCAGCATGACCGGTTTGGCAGTGGGTCAGTAATGGTGTGGGGTGGCATTTATTTGAGGGGCTGCACAGCCCTCCATGTGCTCACCAGAGGTAGCCTAACTGCCATTAGGTACCGAGATGAGATCCTCAGACCCCTTGTGAGACCATATGCTGGTGCGGTTGGCCCTGGGTTGCTCCTAATGCAAGACAATGCTAGACCTCATGTGGCTGGAGTGTGTCAGCAGTTCCTGCAAGACGAAGGCATTGATGCTATGGACTGGCCTGCCCGTTCCCCTGACCTGAATCCAATTGAACACATCTGGGACAACATGTCTCGCTCCATCCACCAACGTCACGTTGCACCACAGACTGTCCAGGAGTTGGCAGATGCTTTAGTCCAGGTCTGGGAGGAGATCCCTCAGGAGGCCATCCGCCACCTCTTTAGGAGCATGCACAGGCATTGTAGGGAGGTCATACAGGCACGTGGAGTCCGCACACACTACTGAGCCTCATTTTGACTTGTTTTAAGGACATTACATCAAAGTTGGATCAGCCTGTAGTGTGTTTTTCCACTTTAATTTTGAGTGTGACTCCAAATCCAGACCTCCATGGGTTGAAACATTTGATTTCCATTTCTTAATTTTTGTGTGATTTTGTTGTCAGTTCATTCAACTATGTAAAGAACAAATTATTTCAGAAGAATATTTAATTCATTCAGATCTAGGATGTGTTATTTTTGTGTTCCCTTTATTTTTTTTGAGCAGTGTATATACATCCCTGTCTGTTCATGCACCTAATAAAAGGACAAAAGAAAGCATTTCAA